GTAAGGGATTCCTCGCCGCCACGGAGGTATGCGACCCTCATGGGTGGTAGGGATTCCTTCCTGTCAATGAGGTATATCAACCTCATTGGCTGGAAGGGATTCCTTCCTGTCGATGTGGTACTTCAATCTCATCAAGGGGAACCTTACCTCATTGCCAGAAATGATCCCTTCCGGCCAATGAGGTTGTTATACCTCATCAGCTGGAAGGAATCCCTTCCGGCTGATGAGGTTGTTATACCTCATCAACTGGAAGGAATCCCTTCTGGCCAATGAGTTTTTTATTTCTCATAGACCGGAAGGAAATACTTCCGGTCATGGGAGCAAGCAACTCCCAACCCATCAAGCATGAGGGGTGGTTTGGGGCGCCGACTCCTTAAAAATCAAAAAAATCAAAATAAAAAAATAAAAAATTATTGGATGGCCGACTCCCAAAGTCGGCCATCAATTTGGAGGGATGACTCCCACCCAACGACCCCTCGACCAAAATGGGAGTTGTCGGAAAATCTTTCGGAGTCGTTTTTCCGACCCCCTATACCAGAGTCAGAATCTTCAAAAAATTGTTTAGTATCCTTGAGATTGTACCTCATGCCTCTGGAGTCAATAGACCATTTGTTGGAATCACACTTCCAAGATCCTTAAAAGGTCAAGAAGTGAGTCTAGTTTCAATAACCTCACACCCAGATTACCCAGATTACCTGATACTTTTGTGTATCTTTAGTGACAGGTGTGATGACAAACTTGAATGACACAAAGCAAAATGCCTTCAAACAACACTGCAACAATTTCAAGAAACTGAAAAATATGATGGGTACTCATGTCAATTTATGTAGCTAAAGACAAAATATATTGCATTTCCCTGCCAAAAGAATTGTATTGGTCAGATAGAAACTTCTATTGGGATGCTGATCCATGGAATGACTGTTGGAATTTCGCTCCTTGATCTCTTCTCCTCATCTTTCACATCACATGTCACTCATTTGCTAGAACTGTTTTTGTCCCATTTCTTATTCAATATTCATCTGACTCTGCTCCCACGACTCATGCATATTTGTATCTAGATTATTTAAGACAGTCTAGTAACAAGAAATAAAATCATCAGTCTTAGCTATTTTTGATCTGGTCCTAAGTGGACACTTTAGCCTCCACTTAGTCTTTCTCAAGCACACTTTAGCCCGCTTTTCTGAGTACAAATAGCATCTCTCAGACTTCTGTCTACTATCAACTTTGTTGACGTTTCCCCATCTCCAACTCAAATTTCATCAATGACCCATGCAGATACATTGCAGATCCTATCTCTGTTTCAGTGATACTTCAAGTCAGTAACTGATGTCACTCCCTCTAACAAGTTTGATCAACTCCAATACTCAGATGATCAAGTGTTGACTCATTAATTCAAAGCTTTAATACTCTTTTTTAGATTATCACCAACAGTCAAAGCAACTCAATTGAGTCTGCTAAAAAGGATTACTCTACCAAATAGTATTAAGTAATTCTTTTCCTCTCAACAGCTAGAGAACCTTTTATTAACAATGATTAAATCCTCATCTTATATAGATCATCTGTTTGATTCTATTATCAAACAAGATGTTGTGGTAAGCAAATCATAAATGCTCACAGATGGGCTGCATAGCTGTTACATAGAAATCACAAGTTTTCAGTGCTGCCAGATCCTGAAAATGCCAACAAAGAACAAATTTCACCATCTCCAATTCAAGACACACAACAAATCAAAGGAATTCATCACATGGAATAATGGACAAAAACCCCCTCAGTTCAATTTGATTCACATCATGTGACATTTCTTTATGAATAAATATTTCTTTCCTCCACATTTCACAATGAAAAAAAAAATCCACACTTCAAGGTTAGACAAAACTGTTGAATTATTGCTCTCAGAATTTTAGAATAGAAGTAAATCACCTTTCCTTTTCTTTTGTCGCATTCAACACATCATTTCATCTGCAACAGTATGTAGCTATTCTACGCGAACTGGAAGTTCTTCGCGTTGGGTTTTGCCTATTCCAACTTCACTTGAGGACTTCTCTCAGATGCTGGTTTCAAATTCGGGAGGAGCTAGAAAGAAGTTCAGTCGAGCTCCCCCCTGCTCCGCCTGTACCGCCACATAATTCTCTCACCTCTCTGATAAACCAAGCCAAAATTAACGACTCCTCAACATTATCACCGGCTCCACCACCAATAAGCTAGGAGGGAAGATATCGAGATGTTATGCATGCAGTCAAACAATCATGGGCCTCGGAATCCTCGTTTGCCGTTCAAAGAACTATTTGGAAAAATCCAGCAAGATCTTGTGGGGAGATTTAACGAGATTTCGAAAACAAAATGGGATACGCGACAAAGATTTTCCAAAGAGGGGGCTAATACTAGTCAAAAGCAAACCGATCAAGAACTTGTATTCAATCGACGTCCTGTAGATTGTTTCAGAGATTTAGTGATTTGATTAGGGGACTCTAATGCTTGCATGTGAAAAAATCAATCACAGATGGTAGCTACTAGGTGAAGGAATGATGGCAGCGGCGTACTATTGGTGGTTCCGTTGTTTTAAAAAATCAGGTAGACTACTGAACTCTTGGCTGGCGTTTCTGGCAACCATGATCTATTGCGTATCCGAGTTTTGAAGGATGGTTTGGCTGAAGTAGCAAGACGTCCATTGCCGTCAATCCATAAGTCTTGGGTGATTAAGTAGGCAATTGTCATAGGGATCTGACTAACACTTATAGCCCCCTGAGGACAGCACCAGGGTACCTCACTGGGAGTCAGAGTGCAATCTAGATCGGTGGGTGGGATGTCTTGCAATCCGCATTAACAGAAAATGATTCATGAGTTTGTATGTGTAATACCAGGGGTGAGTTGGCGATGAAAAAGACTCACAAATTAGTGGATCGGGCGATCTGGATGGGTCATCGGCACAAGCATAGGCCGGGGTGTTTCCGCCACAGGGCTTCAAGTTCTTAGACATGACATTACTGACACCAAACACGAAAGCTAAGAGTGCAAATTTAATAACGTTCATGGTACCGAGAGGGATGCGGGAGATGAGCAACAGTTGGTGTAATTTCTATATTGTCTAAATGAGGATGTGGGAGTTGTTGGTGTGGTTGAGAGGTCTTTGCGGCGAGACGAGTTGCATTTTATATATGCTATTCTTGAAGAAGCCTTGCGCTTATGTGTACGTACATTTGCTCGCCAGCCTTCCATGTCTTCCACGCCAAGATTCTCGCTGGGCCGGCCGTCTCAGGCTGAGGAAGGAGCACAGCACGAACAAATAGTAGTTGAGTTCGGTGATGATGGTACATACTTTAGGCGGCTGTTCAGGCAGGCCGTATGTATCAGGACCTCAATACACATTTCAGGACGGTTGAACCTATGTAGCCAAGCCCTAATCATCAATCTAGAGAACATTGATCACTCCCTTCGAGATCGAGGGATAAGGCTTTAGACCATCTCCACCGCGGTCCCTAAATCGGGTCCCTATCCCGCATTTAGGGACCGCGGCCCAAAAAACGCCGCCCACCGCGGTCCCCATTGTCGTCTGTATTTTACAGATTTCATCCTCGGTCCCTCTCCAGACTAGGGTTGACGGTGCCACCTTTTTGTAGGGGCACCGGCCAGACTGCCAAAGCATGGCGCCTTTGGCTGGCGGTGCCCCGGTGAGTTGGGCGCCGGCTATAAAGTTCTTTTTATCCATTTTTTTGTTTTGTCTTGAGTACATCCACCAGATGATGCCTGAAGCCCTCAGTGCCACCATCCTTCAGTATGTAGAGGGCCAAAAGGTCCAAGTTCCAGACCGGAGTGACTTGTAGATCCCAGCTCTTGGTCCTCATGGTCATCAGTGGCACCCCCTCTGCTCCAAGGTGCCAACCCGACACTGGGCCTGTTTTGCAAGTGAGATTTGATTAGCCTTAAAAATAAAAAGTCAAAGATGAAGTTATAAATCCATAAAAAACCCTAAAAAGTAGGGTAAAAGTCAGGTGCGCACCCACCCCCCATTTTTGAATACATCAGGGACCCAGGGGCGCGCACAGGGGGTGGGTGCACTTTAGTGCGCCCCACCCTATGGTGCCGTCAACCCTAGATACCGGTGATTTAAGGACTACCCGGTGTGGCAGAACACGTTTCCGAGTCCCTACACATGTTTCCGAGTCTGTATTTTTGATTGATAGGGACCCAAAAATACGGACTGCAGTGGAGATGCTCTAAGGCTGGGCCCTGGGTGATACCTGAGGCCTCTGGAGCCTCCCGCGCTGATACCCTGTGGGTATACCCAAGGTCAGGTATCCAATTTCCTAGTCCTGGAAGGTATCTGACAGTTATCAGGTACCCCCCACGGGGACCAACTGCCAGATTGCCTTGGGTAGATTTTTTTTGGTGAGTTTTCATCAGAAAAGTTAGCTTTCCTCCTGAAAGAGGTTGCCTGCAACTTTGATCCCAGTCATTTTCTCTGGTGTGAATGTGGGAGTCGTTATGTATGTAAAACAGTGGTCCATTATCACAAACATCTGTGGTTTGGAAGGGACAGCAAACAACTGTGAGTGCCTCAAGCATGGCCTGACCATGAGCCTCCTTGCTTTTCTTATTTTTTTGTCTCCATTTCTGCTTCCAAATACCACTGGAAGTAAAAGCTCAGTCTCCAACCCTTTCCAAGACTCCGCCCAAGGTCCATTCCCAAAGATATCCTATTGGGTAAAAATCCCACAATATCCTCCCGCGTTCCAATAAACCGGGTTAGATAGTTGGGTATACCCGACTGGGCCGGGGTCGGGGCCCACCCTTAGATAAGACACTGCCCCACTGGGTGTATTGTGTCATTGAGAATATCTCCCCCCATGGCTGGTCCCAATATACAGCATATCCCAGAAAGCTTGCAGTTGGGAGGGGTCCTGAGGGCTCAATGTTTCATTCATTTTTTGTGGAGAGACACCACTTTGACTTGCAGCTTGTACAGGTCCTCTACAAGCATGTACATACATCCAGAGCAAAAAGGCCTACAAGGAAGCCCAGGTATGTACAGTCATATCCCAGTTGTTTATGGCTGGTTTGTTTGGATTGCACAACCCCAACCCACCAGCTTGAAATCATGATACTTGGGCAAGTGAAATTAAACAGGTTTCAAAAAAATTATTCTGACAACAACAGTACGAAAAAGTGTTTTTTGAAATTTACAAAAAACATTACAGTTATTGCACTTTTTCAATTGTTTTGATATTGCTCCAAATGAGAAAATAGAAATTAATAATTGCAGTATGGTATGCTGGAGGAATGATAATAAATGATTTTTTTTGAAAAAACTAAATACCAGATGGTTTCAAACTGGTGTGGAGTGAGGCATTCATCAGTCTTGCAGTGGAAAATACAGTGGAAAAGGCAGTGTGATCAAATTCAAATTGCATTTTGACCTGGATACTGAGCTCAGAATGATTCTTGGAGTTGATTTTCTTCATTTATTATCATTCTTCTTGCATACCATACAACTCTTTCCAATTTTTATTTTATCATTTCAAGCAATATTGAAACTTCTGAAAAAAGTCCAATGATTGTATTTTTTTTTGAAAAGTTTGAAAATCAGTTTTTCATAATATAAGCAAGTGGGCAGGTGGTGCAAGAATGAAACAGTTTGGGTGCTACTCAATAGTTGATTAAGGGACTGAGCATTCAACAGTGAGTGGCAATCATGATTGTTGTAAACAGATTCTGCTTCTCTCTTGGAATTGAAGTGGGAATTATTTTGAGCTCAAAAATCATATTGCATACAATTTTTCAATGCAGGTCCATGAAATGCATACCACAGCTTCCAGAATCACTATTTGACATAGAGAAGTAAGCTCAAGGCTTGTTTTTTGATACTTTTTTCTTCAAGGAGGAGATATATGTAGTGGTTGACAGAAATAATTCAATGGAAAGGTTTTTTTTTGTGGTATGATTTTGTTGGGAAATAGTTGATTTTATGCAGAAGAGATGATTTCTTGCCAGTGTATTATCAGCCTCTGGATAAGAGCAATAGAGGGAATGAAAACATCATTTCAAATTAATTCAAATTTGGCCAGCCACTTGCAAACAAATCCAGGGCCACACTTTGTGAGACAAGTACATGTAACCATGCATGATCTGTTAGACAGTTATGATCACCAAATTTACAGCCATTTTGAGAAAGGTTGTGCTCTTGCAAGTTTGGATTTTTTCAGCCATGGTGCTGTACAGCTTTGGTCTAGAGCTAACCAAAACGTCCTTCTCAGGCTTGATCCAATCCTGGCTCCCTCCCTGTTTGACTCCTCAATGGGCTGGTGGTTCCGTTGCAGCAAAGCATGGTCTGGCCCAAAATTTTACCAAGAGTTGAATGGAACTACTACTGGTACCAGAATGTTAGAAATCAAACATTTGCATTTTTTTTGTCTGGAAATGTGGCAGTTTGGGACAGAGTTCAAAAGAAAAGAATGAACAAAAAAATGGATTGGAATGGGCCATCAAAGGCCTAAAACCAAAAAAATTGCAACACAGCATTTGTGGCTGGGATAGGTAGATATTGATAGGCCATAGAGCCAGTTTTGACTTGAAGAAAAAAAATTACAAAATCCCTGGGCTGTGGGGAAAAAACCTGAAACTACAGGGGGTTTTTTTTGGGATGCCTCACTGAAAAAATTCATAAAAATAATCTTCACACATGCATCAAAACATTAATCCAAAAGAAACAGGAAAAATCCCAGTAAGCTATGAACCCTGGGGTTTCAGGGTTGCACAAAGCCCATCCCAAATTCTGAAAACCGGGTTTCAGGCCTGGGGAAGACCTCAAATCTGACAATTGGGGCAATGCCTTATGTGGAATTTAAACAGTCTTTGGTGGGAAAAAAGGGCTTGAACCTGCTTGCGTAAAAGCACTGTTTGTTGGAATGGCTGTATAAGATCAGGGTTTATTAGTCAATCTGAAAGTCCCCTTTTTCCATGGGATACAAATTTCACCAAACTTAGCCAAGTACCCCTTTTTTTCAAAGCAACCCTCTGAAGGAGGGGCTTACAGGATGTCACCCCTGGAGCCCATGAGGATTAAGCATTTGACTAAGAAGTATTATAACACTCATCTCACCAAGCTGTTTCTGGACATTTTTGGGCTTTCTTGATTTTATTGATGGCCTCACTTGTGTGCATCTCTTACACTACCCTTCAACCCTCATGGTTGGAGCTCACTTGTTTGATGTTCATTTTATCAACTCTGGATTATGTGTTATGCCTTCTGCTTATAGCCCAGCATCTTCCATGCAAGTGCCCTGTATCCTCCAGGATACATAGCTATTATGACACAAGAATTTGCTTTGAGTGGCTGTATTCTATGAAGCTGGTCTTGAGTTTCAGATTCTGGGCTGTGAAAAATGACCATTAAAAACCAAGTTGTTGGTTGCATTCATAAATGTTCAGCTGGGAGAACATCCAGGGCCCTCCCAGTATGATGGAGGGCACGGTGTGATTCTCCCAGATATGCTACTCCTTTTGGAGGGTGGTATGTATTGAGTTGGAAAAACGAGGGGACTTGTAGGGAGATTTGAAAAAAATGCTCCTTTTCTAAATCCTCATGGGCAAGCAGGGCAACATAGTGCATAAGAGCATCCACCCCCGTTGGGGTAAATCTTTAGCTAGCTAAAGAGCCCTACAGAGCTCTTTTGCTTAGCTACAGAAAAAAACTGCCCTCATCGGTCTGTAAGCCCCTCATTAGCCAGCTGGTCTCACTTACAGAGGGTTACATAACCCTCGTGTCCACTATTTAAGTTACACTCTGTAAAAATGTTATATCTCAGATCCTCACATATCAAGTACATTGTCCATCCCTCAATGAATGACCGGTACCAAGCCAGTCATTGAAGATAAAGATGGCATCTGATACCCGGTGTGGTAGCTGAATGTGTAAAAATTCAAAGTTTTTTATTATTCTTTTTATCCCGCTT